TCGGGACCACAGCACCCCCCTTAAGCCTTGGCCCGGGGCCCTTTTGTCAAGCCCACAACTTCCGCCTGGGGTTCGCCTGATTCTTTTCGTCTGCTGCTTGCAGATCCCGTCGGAGACGGTCTCTTCAAGGAAGGGAAGAACCCGAGCTGGGGCCCGCTGAGCCCGGCGGTTCAGAAAGGTGAGCTGGGTGGCGCGCTGGGCGGCGGAGGCGAGGTTGGTTGGGGTCAGGGCACAGGCGGACAGAAGGCGGGAGCAGTGTGGACTCAGGGTTCACACTGAAGCCCGGAGTCCTGGCCTGGTTGTGGGGAGGCCTTGGGAAGACATTCACTTGGTTTTTGGCTCCTGCATCTTCTGAGCACCAGGAAAAGACTTGCAGGCCAAGGCAGGTGGAGAGGATCCCAGCCCCAGGCCCTTTTGCTGCTTAGTATGGTTTTCCAGGCTTTGGGGCAGGGGCTGGGACACTTAGCGTCCTTTCCCTGCTGGTAGTAGGAGTTCAAGGCCGCAGCACCAGCTGGCAATGGAACCAGGGGAATTATTCCCCAAACACAGTGGGCTTCCCAATCACTAGACCCTGGTCACTGCCACCTGCTTACCCTCCTGCGCTGACCTACGCTGGCTGATCTCTGCCGGCCAAGTCTGCCAGACGATTGCAATTGATTCCCAGGTTCACCACCAGCGCTCCACAGATAGACGATAAATTACCCTTTTGTTGGCTGGCTCTTCAAGCAGCGTCTCCCCACAGTCCCCATCTCAGTCGTTACCCTAGATCTCACCAAGAGACAGAAACCACAAAAATGAGGTTTGCGACTGTTTTATTCAGAAGGAAACTATGCCTAACAGGAACGGGCATCCAAACCGCTGAGGTTGCTCCACCTTTGGTGCCAGGTGCACCTTTGTACCCAAATCTTCCCTTGCTTCTCACCCTAAAACTTAACGCTGGGGACTAGGAACCAGGAAGCTCTTTGCTGGGCTGGCTTGAAGGGATTGGGATTGAAATCATGGGAGAGGGTAGCATCTGGATTATAATCCAGTGGCTGAAAAAGGAAGAGGGGGTCACCAGACTCTATTTGAGACAGTAAGCAGACCAATTCGAGGAAAATCCGTTTTATTCTAAAAAGGAGTGGGGGTAATTGTATCAGGAGTTTTCTCTGCCTGTCTGCTTGAGGCTACAAGACAGGGGAGCAGGAATTCTGGGACTCCACTCACCACTGGCATATCCTGGAAAAACCTCCTTGCTGCCTCCAGCAACCGCGAATTCGAAGGCATATCACACAAAGACAGGAGGAGGTTGGTAGCCAAGCACAACAGCTGCTCGGTCCGTTCCCCTCCTCAGAATTGTTCTTCAGGCCCCGAGAACGATGGCACCTTCGTAGGCAGGAAATCCCGCCTGTTCCGAAAACAAGAGACCAAACTCTTAGGATCAGAGCAGAGGCCTGCGCACCCAAAGGTGGCTAGGATGGGGAGCCCCTGAGAGCTTGCCCCTCCTGTCACGTATAGGGGGCCACTGTTCCTACTCCTGTCGGATGTGGTTACAAGGAAGCCAGCCACCACTCCACCTCAGGTGTAGCCTGTCCAACTACGTCTTTGGGGACTGGCTGGGCCTTGTCCAGCAGTGGTTGGGTCGCCCCGCTGCACGCCTGTCCCTTCCCATCTCTGGATGTGGTCCCGCTGGGATAGAGCAGTCCAATCATTCTGCCCAATGACGCCCTGTACGGTTGTGCGGCTTCTCCCTAAATAAGAGCGCCGGGCTGAGATGGCGAGTGGCGGCGGGTATCTGTCCTTGCTCGCCTTGGAAAGCCGAATGCCTTGGGGCGCCGCTGTGCTCACGTGGAGTAGGCGACGCTTCCCCTTTCCCCCACAAGTTTCACAAAACCGTGCATCCGGCAAGCTACTTGCTCTTCAATGGAAGCCGCATTTCCATTGTGCAAAAGCGTGGTAAAGGCTAGAGACCACTCTGCTGATCAACCCCTCCCCGGCCGGCTGTTCCTGGGGAACTCAGCTGCACAATTTGACTTGCGCTTTTCCTCCCCCAGTGCCGGTTCCTGCCGGGGTGGGTCGGTTTCCCGTCTGCACTCTTTCCCAGTTCCCGCCTCCCCGCTCCCACCTGTGGCTGACTACCCCCCTCCCCACAGGCAGCGGACAGATCCAGCTGTGGCAGTTTCTGCTGGAGCTGCTGGCTGACCGCGCGAACGCCGGTTGCATCGCGTGGGAGGGTGGTCACGGCGAGTTCAAGCTCACGGACCCGGACGAGGTGGCGCGGCGGTGGGGCGAGCGCAAGAGCAAGCCCAACATGAACTACGACAAGCTGAGCCGCGCCCTTCGCTACTACTACGACAAGAACATCATGAGTAAGGTGCACGGCAAGCGCTACGCCTACCGCTTCGACTTCCAGGGGCTGGCGCAGGCCTGCCAGCCACCGCCCGCGCACGCCCATGCCGCCGCCGCCGCTGCTGCCGCCGCCGCCGCCGCCCAAGACGGCGCGCTCTACAAGCTGCCCGCCGGCCTCGCCCCGCTGCCCTTCCCTGGCCTCTCCAAACTCAACCTCATGGCCGCCTCGGCCGGCGTCGCGCCCTCCGGCTTCTCCTACTGGCCAGGCCCGGGGCCCGCCGCCACGGCTGCCGCCGCCACCGCCGCGCTCTACCCCAGTCCCAGCTTGCAGCCCCCGCCCGGGCCCTTCGGGGCAGTGGCCGCAGCCTCGCACTTGGGGGGCCATTACCACTAGACGGGGCGGTCGGGTGCCTGCGGCCTCGCCCGCACGCCCAGAGTCTCACCCGATCCCATCTACATCCCGGGGAGGGGCCCGGGAGCCTCCCAATCGTCCTCTAACCAAGAGTTTACTCCACCTGCCGCACTTAGCCCCGGGGGACGGACCGGAGCTCCCTCAATCCGTGTCTGATACTAGATTTGTCCCGTCCCACCCCGCAGTCCCCTGAGGAGAGCGATATGCGCCCTCTTTGACTTTTTTTCTTCTGGGTCTCCAGGTCCCGGAGGGGATTTGTGGACCTCTGCTGTCTCCTAACCACTCCGGTGCATTTCCGCCTGGCTCCTAGAAGCCCCATTCAATATCACATCTCTTCCCACTTTTGCTCTTCCCCAAGGAACTGCTCCCACCTCAGCACGTGGAGGCCTCTCACGGTCCTCCTTCCTGGGACCTGAGCAGATTTGGTGAAAGCCACCCTGCCCCATGACACATGGCCCTCTTCCTCCTGTACTAACACTCACAGGAGGGCCCAGTGTGTTTCTGACCCTTTTAGCCCCATTAAAGCTCCTGAGCTCTACGCTGCCTCCTCTCTCTGTTCTTTGCTGCACCAGAACCCGTGGTTAGGGGAAAGTAGGGAGAGGTTCATCTCGGGCCACAGCAAAGAACTGCCAAGGAAGAGGTCCCAAGAAGGAGGGTGGCGCGGGCTTGGGCGTCGCTGCAGGGAGCGAGGGGCCTGGAGAATGGGCTCAGCCCAAGGAGCCGCCTTGCCTCACACCCACCCTGCCAGGCGACCCCAGCTCACCTCACTTGGTCTTCCACTTGCCCTTCACCCCACCCTATCCATACTTCCGTCCTAGCAGACACCTGCACCCCACCCTCCCCATCTCACTCACCCTTTCACCCACCCCTCACCCGCCCCATCCCAATAGGCACCCCACCCCCACCCCACTCAAGCTTCCCCATCTCACCCACCCGTCCACCCGCCCCTCACTCCATCCCATCCCATTAGGCACCCCACCTCCACGCCACCACCCATCTCACCCATCCTTCCACCCGCCCCTCACCCCACCCCATCCTGACAGGCACCCACATCACATCTTCCCCCTCTCACCCATCCTTACACACGCCCCTCACCCCACCTTATCCCAATAGGCACCCACATCCCACCACCACATCTCACCCATCCTTCCACCTGCCCCTCACTCCACCCCATCCCAACAAGCACCCCCACCCCCCCTCCCCATTTCACTCACCCTTCCACCCACCCCTCACCCCACCCCATCCCAATAGGCACTCCCACCCCACCCCACCTCCCCATCTCACCCACCCTTCCACCCGCCCTTCACCCCATCCCATCCTAACAGGCACCCACATCACATCTTCCCCCCTCACCCATCCTTTCACCCGCCCCTCACCTCATCCCAACCTTCATCCCTTCTGGCTGAGCTTCACCCCACCTCAGCCTTCCCTCAGCCACTTTATTTCATCCCCTTCCCCAACCATCCTCCCCTCCTCATCCTACTCTCACTTAGACTTTCTCGCCCTATCCCTCACAAATCGCCCCCTCCCCCCCAACATCTGTCGCCGTCTTTCTTCTGGCTCGGCCTCCTCATTTGCAGAAGAAGGGGTGTCTCCCACCCGGCTCCTGCGCTCGCGGCTCGCAGCCTCCACGCCGAGGCTCGTGGCTGCACCTCCTTCTTGCGGGCGGTGCGCGCCCTCTGCTGGTCGGAGGAGGGTACGCCGAGGGCTTTGTACCTAAGCCGGGGGGGATTTTCTGTGCCACGCGGTGCAAACCCATGTGCCTGGCCACACTGAGGACTGCAGGACCCAGTAGTCTCCAGATCTCCTTTGGCCTTCAGAGAGGAGGGTGAAAGGGGGAACTCTGCATCCCAGGTCTGACCTCTGGAAGCCCGGAAAGTGGGTCGAGTGGATTATTCTCCTGGCTGGGCCCCTTTCCTCACCCCAGAGGCCCTTCTGAATACTGCACCCGCCCACCAAGGCCACTGCCCCTTAACTCCTACCTTTTCCAAAACCTGTTGGCAGGAAAGCTGCCTTAAACGCCTTCGCTTAGAGGAAAACAGCACTGTGGAAGGTGCCTAAAGGGACAATCCCAACCTCAAGGCAACTGCTCCTCGAGGCAAGCCCCTGGCTCCCCTTTCCCCCGCTGCCCTGGCTGTTCTTTTCCACGCGCACACCTCTTCTTGAGCACAGGAAGGGGCAATGCAGGCGGGAGGCTGGGCAGTTGGAGGTGTGGGGTGGGCCTGATGCCCCTTCCCAAAGGATTTAGCCAGGGAAAGAGTCTTTATTCATTTCATTTTATTTTTCGCTTAATTTTTTTCTAGTTTTCCAAAGAACACACACTCAGCATAGAAAATTTGGAAACACACACCCGAGGCCTCCTCCATGAACTATCGGTTGGATGAAGCATGTAAAGAAGCGTGAAGGGGCCGGGCGCGGTGGCTCACGCCTGTAATCCCAGCACTTTGGGAGGCCAAGGCAGGCGGATCACGAGGTCAGGAGATCGAGACCATCCTGGCTAACACGGTGAAAACTCGTCTCTACTAAAAATACAAAAAATTAGCCGAGCGTGGTAGCACATGCCTGTAGTCCCAGCTACTCGGGAGGCTGAGGCAGGAGAATCGCTTGAACCCGGGAGGCAGAAGTTGCAGTGAGCCGAGATGGCACCACTACACTCCTGCCTGGGCGACAGAGCAAGGCTTCATTTAAAAAAAAAAAAAAAAAAAGCCAAAACTATAGTCCTGTTACACGGACGCCACTGTTACTATTGATAATTTGTTGGTCAAAACCCTCTCTTTCTTTTCTCAATGCCATTGATTGATTGATTGATTGATTGATTGAGGCATGGTCTCTCTCTGTTGCCCAGGCTGCCAGGCTGGAGTGCAGTGGTGGGATTTCAGCTCACTGCAACCTCCACCTCCCGGGCTTAAGTGATCCTTCCACTTCAACTTCCTGAGAAACTGAGACTACAGGCATGTACCACCATGCCCGGCTAATTTTTGTGTGTTTTATAGAGACAGGGTTTTGCCATGTTGCCCAGGCTGGTCTTGAACTCCTGGGCTCAAGCGATCCACCCACTTCGGCCTCCCAAAGTGCCTGGGATTACAGGCATGCGCCACAGTGCCTGGCCAATGCCTTTTAAAATTTGATAATACCCTGCTTTCGTAGCTGAATAGAAAAAAAGTATGTTCCAGGTCATTATGCCTGATACGCCTCACGGGGTGGGAGAGTGGGCTGGTGCATTCACCAAGCAGGTGAGCCAGTCTGACCTGGTGAGGTCTTCTGTGACGTGCATGGTGGCAGTGGGGGAGGGGTGCAGCATCAGAGAGTCTCTTTACAGCCCTATTTGCAGGGGTCAGGAAGCTGGGAGGAAGAAGAAACATGCTGAGGAGATACAGCCAGGATCCAGAAAGATCTGGGCTGCTGAACATTGTGGGCTGAATGTAACAAAGTAAAATTTCTGTGTTTGTTGTTGTTGTTGTTGCTACTTTTGTTTTTTTGAGATGGAGTCTCACTCTGTTGCCCAGGCTGGAGTGCAGTGATCTCGGCTCACTGCAACCTCTGCCTCCTGGTCTCAAGCGATTCTCCTGCCTCAGCCTCCCGAGAAACTGGGATTATAGGCGCTTGCCACCACACTCAGCTAATTTTTGTATTTTTAGTACAGAAGGGGTTTTGTCATGTTGGCCAGGCTGGTCTCGAACTCCTGACCTCAAGTCATCCACCTGCCTTGGCCTCCCAAAGTGCTGGAATTACAGGTGTGAGCCACTGTGTCCAGCCACAAAGTAAAATTCCTTAGGAAGGACTGTGAGGCCCTGGTCTTACACCTTTAAATGAAACAACAGAAGTCAGAGTCTTGGCAAAGGTGGGGCTCAGCAGAGCCTGTGTGTAAATGAGTAATGTCCTAGCCAATGCAACGCTAAATGGGAACCTGTAGGGTGAAGTGCAGAAAAATCACTGTAATCTGAGGATGAATTGATGGAGCTACAACACCTAAGATGAAGGAAGTGGTCCACTTGGTTTCGTAAGTCTGCCGCCAGGAACATTGTGCACAGTGTTGTTTTCAGGAGGAGACCAAGTGGAGGACACACAGTGTAGTAGACCCAGGAAGTGAAGAGGAAAAACGGTGGAAAGCCAACAACAATGTGAGATGTATCTGGAAAGTCAACTGGGAGAAAGGGGGATGGGAGCTGTCATCATTTATTCAAAACTCTGTCCTGAGAGAAAGGACTGGATGCATGTGACTAAGGGCAGTACTGGGACACGTGGTTGGAAGCTCCAGGAAAACAGATGTCTCGTGATCTAATGAAGAGCCTCTGCCGTGGAACACGTTGGGTGAGTTCACTGTCACCAGAGTGTTTAGCAGACCCTTCTGTGAGAAGCAGAGAAGGGAGGTGGACTAGGCGACCTCTCTAACCTTGAGACTCTTGGAATCCTGTGAAGGAGTCAATAAAGGGGGGATTTTAGTCATTGTTGGGCAGCTGGCTGGCTGAGATATTGTTAGATTAAGGGATCTTCTTACCTATGAAATTGCATCCTTAAAGCTCACCCCATGCCTCTGTTCTTTCCTGTCCACATAGCCAGTTTGGGAGGCTAAGATATAGAACTGGGAACCAGAAATTCTGAGTTCCATTTGCAGCTTGGTAACGAACCTGCTGTGTGACCTTCAGATAATCACTTCTCTTTTCTGGGGTTCCATTCTCATCTCATTAAAATAATAAGGCTGAACCAGAGATTTGCAAACTCTGCTCTGTGGAACTTTAAGGGTCACCTAGGTTCTCTCTGTTCAAAAAAAAAAAAAAAGAAAGAAAGAAAGAGCTGGAAAACGTCTATCAAAGATGACCTACAAGGTCGAACCCAGCCTCAGAATACAGTAGATGGGAATCCTCTTCTCCAGATTATCTCAGCTCTGGGAGCCCCTGCCTCTGTGATGTCTCCAAACTCTGAGTTACTGTGGTCTTGGCAGGACTGTACTCCACCCAATCCCTGAAGAAGTCATACTCTTACCACACTCAGCTTCCTGATGATCCAGGCCTGTTTTCATGGACTCTTAACCCCATGGTCCTTGGCCCTCCAAGGTATTGATCCCACCATTGCTTTCCTCTCCCAATCCAGGGTCAAGCCCCTCTTGCATTTTCTGAAGTTCTGAGCCTTTTCTCTATCACCTCGTTCAAGTCGCTAGTGAAAGTATGGTTCACTCCTCTGCCGTATGCTTGCACTACAGTTTACAAAATGCTTTCACACCCATCATTTGATTGACCTCTTCAAGATTAGGAAGACAGGGCAAGTATTGCTTTATCTGCTGGGAGGATAAATAAACCAAGGCCCCAGATGTTAAATGACTTGGTTGAAGTCTCAGGGCTTGTTGTAAGACCTGTATCTTCTTATTCCTCTGCCAGACCCTTTCCCACTGCTCCCGGTGACCTTTCCACACTCCTGAGCAGTCACTGATCACTTTGTTTTTAGAATCTTTCCCATGCAGGATGACACAGACCCATATCTCCTCCAGTAACAGGCACTCTGTGCGACTAAGCTCCACGCTTTATCCCTTGCAGATGGAATTAGAAGCCCTGCTAACATGCAGCTTGAGGACATTCATGTCCAAACTGTTTGGGACCTGCACAGTCACAGTGCAATGATGCCACTGAAGGCACTGAGGCTCACAGAGCACTCTCTCATACGACAGCTCATGTGACCATAGACAGGCATCGTAATGGGCCACTGTGATGCACTTTTCTCAGAGCCTTCTGCTCTTCTGGCCTTCACCTTTCCTCTAATGTGTCTTTGAAATGCACCAAAATGAACTTGTTTCTTGAGCTATTTATAATCCATGTCAAGTGAATCTGCTGATGATAAAAGTATGCTTTACCACTCACTGAACATGACTCTGCCAGGCTCCACCCTATGCTAATGCTTTACAGGTGGTGTTTCCTTTGACCTGGCTACAACCTTGCCAGATGGGGATGGTAACCTCTATTTTCAAATGAGGGAACCAAGGCTTGGAGAAATGAAATGGCTGGGCCAGCCCATGACCTGACAACTGAAATCCTTACCACCCCACTAGATCTCTTCTTGCTGGCCTTCCTGGACAGCTTCTTCCTCATGTAAACATGACCTGCTTCTTACCCAGTACAGATGCACACCACCTACAATTGGTTATAAAGGACAAACTGACAGCTTGCCTTATGAGTGTCCTTGGTTAGGCCTCTGTTTGATAAGAAAGTACATTTTGTCCCTGATAAGAAATAGAGACTGTTTTGTTGCCCCAATGCCTTTTGCAGGCTTTCACTTTCCTAACTGAGGCGCTACAGGCTTGGAGAAGATCACTGTACTCTGAGGTGGAGTGGGGCTCTGATTATATATTGACCTGAATGGTATTTCCTACTTTGGTTTGGTCAGCAGGATTTCTCTATGACACTTCTCCATCTTAGGATGACGCATGTCATGTCTAGAGGTGAATGGTTCAATGTCCCATTGACTGATGTTTCTTATTTCTTTTCTTTTCTTTGTTTAGAGATAGAATCTCACGCTGTTGCCCAGGCTGGAGGCCAGTGACATGATCATAGCTCACTGCAGCCTTGAACTCCTGGGCTCAAGAGATCTTCCCATCTCAGCCTCCCAAGTAGCTGAGACTATAAGCATGTACCATCATGCCCAGCTTGTTTTAATCTTATTCTGCTTTTGTAGAGATAGGGGTCTCACTGTGTTGCCCAGGCTGGTCTCAAACTCCTGGCCGCAAATGATTCTCCCACCTTGGCCTCCCAAAGTGCTTGGATTACAGGCATGAGACACTGTGCCTGGATAATTTTTTTTTTTTTTTTTTTTTGAGACAGAGCCTTGCTCTGTTGTCCAGGCTAGTGCTGTGGTGCAATCTTGGCTCACTGCAACCTCCACCTCCTGGGTTCAAGTGATTCTCCTGCCTCAGCCTCCCACATAGCTGGGATTACAGGCACCCACCACCATGCCCGGTTAATTTTTGTATTTTTAGTAGAGATGGGTTTTCACCATGTTGGCCAGGCTTGTCTTGAACTCCTGACTTCAAGTGATCCTCCCACCTTGGCCTCCCAAAGTGCTGGCATTACAGGCATGAGCCACTGCACCTGGCCCCAGTTGACTTTTTCTCTTTCTGAGAATTCTCTCCCTCTGGATCCTGTTTGCTGTTTCTTTCCTAGCATACACTTCTTTGAAAACAAAAGGCAACATAGCTTAGTGGTTTGGGGCTTTGGGCTGGACTTCCAAGGTTTGAAAGCTCTGTTACTTGCAAGCTATGTAACGTTATTCAAGTTACTTCTTTGTGCTTCAATTACCTCATCTGTAAAATTATAATATCCATTAAACCTACCTCATAGAGTTGCTATAAAGATTACATAATGATTTAAGTACCTTGCTACACATATCAGTGCTTTCTATTATTAAACAAGCAGACAAAACAATTCAAAACAAAGCAAGCACCTGCCTCCTCTCCCTCTCATCCCCATCAGATGCCCTCCACATGCCCTGGAAAGGAATCTGGGCTTACTTTTCCACGGCAGCCCACTCCTTGTCCTGGGCCCACATGGTGAACTTCACCAAGAACAAGCCTCTTGACTGGCTATGGCTCCGCAACCACTAACACATGGGTTGGCCTCCTGTTCTCAGAACATCCTCCATTTCCTTATGAAGTAACAAAAGAATGTATTGAATTTCAAATTATAAGATCTCAGCTAGCTACTAGCTATGTGACTTTAGGAATATGTCTACACCATTCTGACACTTAATTTTCTCCTCTAAAATAAAGATAATAGTAATGCTTACTTCCCATGATTCTTGTGTAGACTATTACATGAAATTTGGAAGTGGGAAGTTTTCTTGTTACAGCAACTAACATTACCATAACTAATACCCATATTACATTTGATCTTTACAATAATACCCTGAAGTACACATCATTATTTTCTTCATTTTATAGATTAGAAAACTGAGCCACAGAGGGATTAAGAAACTTGTCTAAAGTCACGCAGTGAGAAAGAGCAGTGCAGGATGTGGACCTAGTTTGATTTCAGTGGCAGTGAATTCTCTTAACCACTAAGGATGTGAAAGAGGTTTATATGCTAAAGCCTCCTAGAAGTGATAATAATAAGTGTGGGTACTTATTGAACCTTTATGTGCCAGGTTCAAGAGCTTTACATTCATTTAATTCTTACAGCCCTCTGGAGTTGGCTCTAGTGTTATTTCCATTCTATAAATGAGGAAAACTGAGGCACAAAATGTCAAAAAAGTTGCATGGGATCACAGAGCTGCCAAGGGTAAATATGCCTTTCAAACTCTAGCAGCCCAGTTTTCACTCTATTCCCACCCCTTATTCACCGATCTTCACTACTAGAAGAATGAGCAGATTCTGAGATTCTGAGAGGCCAAGAAAGTAGCAGAACTATATGCCCAAACCTCAGCTCAACCTCAAGCCAGGTACTCTATTCCAGCATTCACCAGGGGTTCCAGACAAATAGCAAAGTGAGAAATGCATTTTAGAAGTCTCGTGTTCTACCGTGACCCTTGCAAATATCTCAAACAGCAAGGTGGAGTAGAAGGAACCCAGATGGGCGTGGTTTCAGACTCATCCTCTGCCTATTCCCTGTGAGACTGAGAAGGCTGCTTACTCTCCGTGAGGCTCAGTGAACTCATAAAATGGAAACACTGATCATACCTGCTTTATTGGTTTGCCACAAGGACAGAGCCTGTGCCTACAGAGTCCAGCACAGAGAGCTGCTCTATAACTGTCATGCCCCCACGCTAATTAGCCCAGAAGCAAAGACCTGCCTTGCAAGTTCATCCCATTTCCCACCAGTCTAATCCTCCAATTCTATACCCAGTTCTCCCTCCATGAGGCAGAGATGCTCTTTCCTTGAGATTCCTTCCTTCCCTGAGGTCAGAGGAGAAGGAAGTAACTAAAGGAGGCCAGAAGGCCAGACTTTGAGCATTAGGTTCCTTTTTCGGCAGAGGAGGTCAAGTTGCTTAGCAACACAGTGGGAGGTTGTCAGGGAGGCTTCAGGCAGCACTGTCCATTTTTATCCTGCAGCATGGAGAGATCTGGAGCAACATGAGATGGGGAGATGGATGGGAAAAGTGATGAAAGATCCCAGGCTCCAGTGATAACCTCTTGGGTTAAGCCTCCTTTCCTATGATCACCTTCCCAATCCCCCAAAATTTCCGCTTGGTTTTCTACTTTTTTTGTTTTGTTTTGTTTTTGTTTTGAGACGGAGTCTTGCTCTGTCGCCCAGGCTGGAGTGCAGTAGCCGGATCTCAGCTCACTGCAAGCTCCGCCTCCTGGGTTTACGCCATTCTCCTGCCTCAGCCTCCTGAGTAGCTGGGACTACAGGCGCCCGCCACCTCGCCCGGCTAGTTTTTTGTATTTTTTAGTAGAGACGGGGTTTCACCATGTTAGCCAGGATGGTCTCGATCTCCTGACCTCGTGATCTGCCCGTCTCGGCCTCCCAAAGTGCTGGGATTACAGGCTTGAGCCACCGCGCCCGGCCGGTTTTCTACTTTTGACACACAGTTCTAGGGCATCTTGCACACACATTTGTGCAACGGCCACGTTTATGACCATGAACATGAGGGCCAGACACAGGACCACCTTGTATTTATTCTATGCTTTACAACTTACAGATCACATCATAGACACAATTTCAAATGATACTTGCAGCAGTTTCATTAATAGTGGGAAAAGGCCAGGCACATGGTTCATGCCTGTAATCCCAGCACTTTGGGAGGCCAAGGTGGGCAGATAACCGAGGTCAGAAGTTCGGGACTAGCCTGGCCAACATGGCAAGACCCTGTCTCTACTAAAAATATAAAAATTAGCTGGGCATGGTGGCGGATGCCTGTAATCCCAGTTACTTGGGAGGCTGAGGCAGGGGAATCACTTGAACCCACGAGGTAGAGGATGCAGTGAGCCCAGATCATGCCACTACACTCCAGCCTGGACAACAGAGCAAGACTCCATCTCAAAATATATAAATATATATATAAATATATATATAGAGAGAGATAGACAGATATAGATAGATACAGATATACAGATATAGATATAGATATAGATATAGATATAGATATAGTGGGAAGATGATCATGATTCCTATATAACAGACAAGGAAAACAAAGTCCCAAGATCCCACAGTGAGGAAATAGCAGGGTCCAGATTTGCTGCAAATCTCAGGATAGTTCTACTACACCCTGATGCATGGACTTTAGTGCAGGCATTAGCAACGTGTGTGCATGCCATTCTTAGGGCCTAGTCTCCCGAGATGCATCTCCTCTCATCCCTGATCAGCGGGTGAATTGTGAAGGAAAGACTCAGCTGTTCTTCCCTGTTGGTTCCAACCAGCCTGGGGGGATCCCTGGAGTGGGGAGTTCCAAAAGGGGCCTGGCCTGCTGGCCCAAAGACCTAGACTCAAGAATGCTCCTATGCTAGGCCAGGCTGGCAAAAGTATCTACATACTGACAGCAGAAGCAAGTCCCCTGGCTGGCATTCCAGAGAGAGGCAAGTGGGTCACACCGGGACCAAGGCTTGGCAGCAAGGAGTAAACACAGTCATCCAGGTCACAGGATAGCTCATGGGAGGCCCAGGCCTTCAGGGCTCCCCACTACCTCAGGGACCAGCAAAGATGGTTAGAGCACCCCAGGGCCCCATTCTGGACTCTGTCTCTGTCCTGGTCATTATTTAGTCCCTGTTAATAGTTATTAATAGTGCTGAC